CCATCACGAGACTGGAGGTCACAGCCCCAGGAATTGAGAGCAATCTCCCAGCATCATGACATCCATTTTCTTTTTCCCCCTGCTGGAGGAAAACCCACTCTGGCAGGGACTCTAAATAAAGAATTTCAGCATCTGATTGGCATGAGGCAAACAGCCTGAGCTGGGGGTAATGAAAGGGAGCCATTTCCCAGTCCTGAGCAGTGATGTGATACCTCGGTGTCCACTTTCACGGGCTCAGCCCAGGCACAACAGTTGTCACAAGGATGGAGGAAAGACAGCCCAAAGCTGGGCTGGTTCAGCACATTTACTGCTGAGGAAGTTCCAGTGTCCACCAAGGCCCAAGCAACATTGCCAAACCGCCTGAACCAGGGTGGTCATCCCTGAATGAGAAGTTGAAGCTGAAGGATGCACATTCCAGGATAATTATACCACACAAATGCTCTGCTTTTTTTCTTTGTTTGTTTTCTCCTCTAAACTGTGTTACTTTCCTGAGTATTTCGGGGATTTTTTTCTTGTGTTAGGTTTCAGGCATTTGACAAATTCTCTGGAGTTTAAATTAAATGGTATTTACAAAGTCTTACCAATTTTATAGTGTTCCCTTTGCCCATCACAATGTCAGTTATGAAAACCAATGATAATGGCGCGTGGCAGTTTTCAGCATATGTCATGGAGTGTTTGATTGAGTACAATGCCTATTAATTCTCTATTTTTAGTCCATTACCATGCTAGACATAGAAGGACAGACCCATGATGTTCCTGCTTTCAGAGAGTCTACTTGCTTATTAATCATTTGTTTATCAGGCAAATATTTTTTAGGTACTTATCATGCGCCTAGCACCCTGACAAGTGCTGGAATGTTGCACTAAGTAAGGCAAACATGACTGCTACTTCCAGGCATTGACACTCCAGGAAAGGTGAGAAAAGAAGAAGCAATGACAACACAGTCTATGTCTAAGGCAGAGATCACTTTCTCACATGACTGGCCTTGCCAGGGTCACAGGAGCACGTAGGAAAGGCATACTGGTGGGTCAGAGAAGCACTCAGATAGTTGATCAGTGGATGGTTTTTGAATGTCATTTAGGAGCCAGGCACTGAAATTTACAAGTTGACACCTGAATGGTAGGTATTTTGCAGATGTAGAGGTAGTAGAGTAGAATGTTCCAGGCAGAAGGAACAGCTTATAAGATTATCTGAAGGCAAAGTGTGACAAAATGAGTAGTGTTGCTAGTGGTACAGATGAGACTGGAATAGGGAGGAGACACCAACTTCGAAGGGACTTGGAGTCCATGTTACAGAGTTTGGACTCTATTTTGAGAAAAGTGACAAGTCTTTCAATGATTCTAAGCCAGGAACCCCAATATTTTTGTGTAAAGGATTATTTTGATTCTTGTGTTGAGACTGGGCTAAGGAGTAAGCTCTGTTCAGAGGCCATTGTAATAAAGCAGGTCAAAGATGATGGAGATCTCAACTAGGATGGTGGCAATGGCTGGAACTGTATGTTTTTGAGAGTATCAAAGAGGAGGGATCTCAGAACTTGGTGAGAGACGGAGCAATGACAATTAGATATGATAGGAAAGAAAGAGGGGGGCATTCTCAACCAGCTGCCTGAAAGGTGATGAATTTACTAAGACAGAAACCCTAGAAGGAGGAGTAGGAGAGGGAAGCCCCAAAATTCAGTTTGCCATCTGCTGAGTTTGACATGCCCACGAGAGAGCTCCATGATGGAAATGTAGGTAACAGGATTTAGCAACATGTTGATCAGAATATCTTCACCTGGTAATAATGGAAGGAGTGGTTCTATGGATCCCTATGGTTAACAGAGAATCTCTGAATCTCCTAAAATGTTTTCAAATGTTTAAGCTTATTTTGCATATGCTTATTATTTCAGAGTGGGGAAAGATTATGGAAGTTTGCTTTAGAATGTAAGTTTGGTATAACTCAAAGGCTTTAAGGACCACAGAGGAAATTGAAGGGACAACCTATATTAAAAGTGTCCAAAGAGGGGCACCTGGGTGGTTCAGTCGGTTAACCACCTGCTTTGGCTCAGGTCATGATCCTAGGGTACAGGGATCGAGCCACATATCAGCTCCCTGCTCAGCAGGGAGTCTGCTTCTCTCTCCCTCTCCTTCTGCCCCCACCCCCAGCTGGTGTTCTCTCCATCTCTGAAATAAATAAAATAAAATAAAATAAAATAAAATAAAATAAAATAAAACAAAATAAAATAAAATGTTCCAAGAGAGTCACTTAGGCTGACAGTGCTGGGCCAGGACCCCAAGAAGAGCACATAAAGAGAACACAAAGATTAAGAGGGTTCTGAAAATGAGCTTGAGAATCCACCAAGGGCAAAGTGTCAAGGGAAAGGGAGTGGTCCACAGATTCAAATGCCATCGGGAGATCAAATAAGACAGAAAAGTATCCATTGGATTTTCAACAAAGAGGTCATGGATGATCTTGGCAAGAGAGGCCATAGTTGGTGAGAAAGAGAAAGTGAGTAGAAGATGAGAAAATGGAAAATGCAGGTATAGGAAACTCAAGAAAGGAGAGGAGAGTGTTAAAAGAGGTAGCTGGAAAAGAAGACCAGAGTCCAAGGTGGGTATTTCTGCCCTTAGGATGGGAGAGATTTATGCAATGAGTCCACATTTTAAAACTTAAAGAGCTTTTAAGTAACAACCAACCAAACCAAATACACAGAATCATTTAAGGAAATCAGAAGATAGAGCTCAATGTGTCTACAGTGAGCAGGGTAGATAACAGGAAAGAGTGAACTGAGTTGAGCCTTAAATGATTAGCTTTTGGACAGGTGAAGATGAACCATTAATTGGAAGAAATCTGAGAGAAATAAGACAAAACAGTCACCTAATTTCCTTTCACCTTCTTTTGTTAGTCAAAGACTATTTTCTCAGCAAATACAGAGCCTTTAAAATGAAAATTGCCTGTAAGTCAGAAAGTGACTTCAAGTCTGAAAGTATTAACAGTTAAAGGATATTTCATCCAATTTACAATTACTACTTGTATTCTTGGTCTTCCCATATGAAACAAGCATATTCTTGGGGTCATGTTGTTCATTTCCTCATTTGGAATTTTTAACAGCAGATAGGGTGCTAAATCAGTGTAAGTTGTTGCTTCTGTCACCTAGGTTTCTAACATGTTCCATATACAAAAACACACCCATAAATAAAGGTGCTAATGTTGGAAGGGGAAAGATCCTTTCACAAGCAACTTAACACAAGTGACTCCCTGCATAGAGGAAAATGTTATAAGACCTAGCTCATAATTAAACACTGTCTATTTCACTTAACTGAATTATTTTTCTCTTATCTTTTTAGAAGACTGTATGTGTGTTAATATTAAATGTTCTGTTTATTTGTTTAAATTGAATAGGTATTGCTTAAATAGTAGCCTTTCAGCTTATTACAATTTACAACTATACAGAGGGAAGAGTATAGCTACAAGTATTGCAAATTGTAGCAGACCCCTGATGAAGAAGTGTGATCTTATCCAGGAAGGTTTGGGGAGTGGGGAGTGGGAATTACATTAGGAGCTACACCTTTTAGTTAGAAGAGAGGCCAGTAGCTCTCAGTAATAGTCTTAGCCCGTCCTTCACTTCCTTGCCATAAGTTTGGGTCAGTGTTCCAAACAGATCATCCATGTACAAGACAGAAACTTGCATGTTGCTATACAGACATTATAGAAACCAACATCAGTTCTTAAAGAATCTTATTTTCCTACCAAGAAAGACTACTGTTACTTTTTCCAATTCATGATATTCCCCACAAAGGAGAGCAAATGTAAAACCCTACAACCTTTCCTTGTTTTTATGTAATTTGGCTTTCTATATTTTTGTCCTAGTTTCTAGAAGAGGCAGGACTAGTTTAAAAATGCACACACGTCTACAGACAGACAGACACATACACACACGTAACATTTTCAGATTCCAACTCTGACAAGTCTTGATCCTTTATCCCCTGTCTCGGGTGTCTTAGTTCTCCCCTGTGTGTGGACACATTGCTTCCTGCATACACCATTCTGGCCTCTGGTCATGGTGATCCTGTCAACCTAGGTTTTACTTTCCCAGAGGATGTGGCCTCTGCTTGGGATGTTGCAATTTATAACTTGCTACCTCAACAAATATCCAGTTGGCCTTTGCAATTTTACAGTACAAGACTTTGGGTAGGGGAATGTATTTTTGTGGAAATTGCATATTCCATTGTTGCCTCTCATATATCACAGCTCTCTTCACAGGCACCGAAGGCAAGACATTTGCTAATGACCTCAAACCCCTGCCACATATAGTCTTTTTTTATTTTCTAGGCTTCTAAGCATCTTTTATCTGAGTCATTTGGACCATTTGTGGAAGACTTGTAATTACCTTATTTGCTGTGACTAGGAAATCTAAGGACTATTCAGATTGATTAGAGGCCTTGGCGGGAAAAGCTTTTGATCTGGGGTAATATCATTTTAGAGCCCGGAATGTGGGTTCTATGATTATTATCTGCGTGGGTCTATAAAATAAGCCTAAACGGCAAATTGTCTTCATGGTTATCTTTCCTTTTAAACAAATAAGAATTGTCTTTCTGGTTTAAAGAAAAACAGAAGATAACATTGCTCTTCAAACCCAAATGAAATTGTCATAGATTGCTAATACCACAAGAAAACTGCTCACTGGTGGCAATATTTTGGACACTTATTGGGAAACCCTTGATTTTGTAGTACAATTGTCTTATGGGACCTTCAGGCTTCTACTGAACAGAATGACTAGTATTGGGATTCCTTGAAGGGTGGGATGAGATATACGATATCCTAACCCCACCTCTTCCCCCTTATTGAAAAGATTCTAACGGTGGGGCCTGCAGATCTACATTTTGCCCAGAGCTTTTATGTAGCAATCACTGTGGGTTGTAAGAGCCGCCACCCCAGGAGATAGATGGGTAAAGCCTCCGTGATCGTGATTGCTAAGACCAACTTGTCTTACAGTGAACTCTTGTCTCTCTCCTGCTTAGGTGCAAATGTAATCTCCACGCCACTGTGTGTGTGTATGACAACAGCAAACTGACCTGTGAATGTGAGCACAACACCACAGGTCCAGACTGTGGGAAATGCAAGAAGAATTATCAGGGCCGACCTTGGAGTCCAGGCTCGTATCTCCCCATCCCCAAAGGCACTGCAAATACCTGTGAGTAACTTTGCTCTCTAACACCATATTCTGTGCAAGATGAGCTGACAGTTCCTCTCAATTTCACTTGCAATTGTGCTATTCCTCTTACGGCTTTCCTACTCCTCTTCAAAATGCGGCTAAAGCTTTAGTCTCTATTTCACCACTTGTAAGCACATTTTCACACTTGGATCATCTGTTAAATTCAGTCTTCCAACATTCACATCAAGTGTGTTGGGAAATGATGGAAATCAGGAGACATTTTTTTCTAAGTGGATGAAACAGGAAATGTTTGCTTTCCTCCCCAAATTAATTTCCTATTAAAATAACAACAGCCTTCAAAACTCCCAGTGGGAACTTAATTTCAGCCATCGGCAACTCCAGAAATTCTCTAAATGTTTCTAATCCCATTTCCCCTACTGGGTAACTTGAGGGATGTTTTGTCCAGAAGATGCTTCCCTGTCCAGTTTTCACTACAGCCTAACTTCGCCTGATGAATTAATTGGCTTTTTCCAAATGCCAGCTGTTGAAGTCATGCCTGGCTTGGATCCTGTTAGTAGAGCCACCTTTTGATTACCAAGCGTGACTGTGTAGGCCTGCAGGTACTACATTAAGAAAAGGAATGTCTGGGGCACCTGGGCAGCTCAGTGGGTTAAGCCTCTGCTTTCGGCTCAGGCCAAAATCGGGCTCTCTGCTCAGCAGGGAGCCTGCTTCCCCCTCTCTCTCTGCCTGCCTCTCTGCCTACTTGTGATCTCTCTGTCAGATAAATAAATAAAATCTTAAAAGAAAGAAAGAAAGAAAGAAAGAAAGAAAGAAAGAAAGAAAGAAAGAAAGAAAGAAAAGGTATATCTGAGTTCATGTGAAAAGAGCGCAGGCCTTACTTGTGCTTCCAGGAACCACGAGAGATTCCCCATTACCACCCCTGTGTGCCCCACTAAAATCCCTGAAGATCCAGAGGAAGACATGCTCTGACACGCTCAGGGAAAGACATGATTATTTCCAGAATAAACTCCCCAATTCCATGGATGGACCCATTAGCCACTTGTGAAAGCCCAAGTTTTGCCCTCTTTCAAAAGTAGAGAAAGGGTGAGGTTGAGAACATACCCGTGAAGTGAGAAGTAACAGAAATAGCAGGATAGTGAGCAGTGGGAGAATGAGGGCTTAAAAAGCCACTGGCTCTTTGTGAGGCTGAGAATGTTATCAGGTACTTCAAAGCAGCAGCTGTGAGAAGCCAAAACCTAAAAACTAATATCACAGGAACCAGGACCTTATCAAGTTAAATGTAAGAGTAATGGAGTGAGTAACAAGCCATGAAGTATGGGGGCATGAAATTATGATAAAATTTCTATGAAGCAGAAAAAAATATTCTTCAAAAGATTAAAAAAATCTCTATTTGTAAGGGGATTCCATTTCTTTCTGTGTTAAAGAAAAAAAACAGTCTAGCTCCTAAAATTAATACATAAAGCTCTGTTGAGCAGGAACGTTGATTTTTCAAGGCGATTTTATTAACAGAGACTCTGGGCTGTCCTCAGTTGTTCAGGGCCATAGACTCATGAATTCAGAAGGATCATGAGGTTATTTGTTTGCGAGCCCCTGTGCCTGACTACCAAGAATCCCTATCACCACACTTGTCACATTTGCTTTAAAGGTTTCCCTTAGTGGAAGTAGCTCCGATTTCATTTTCAGTGTCTGCTGCTTCTTTAGGGTAACAGGATGGAATGGAGGAAGGTTCACAAACCTTGTTGGCATTCTGGTTCAACCTCAGGGCCAATCAACTTGTCAAGGTGACCAGAAAGGCAGGTGAGGCCAAACTCCAGCTGCATTGGCCCCTATTCTCACATAACAGTTCTTCAACCCATAAATGAGCTTCAAAGACTTGCGTACTTCAAGACATTTTCACCGGGGACCCCTTCTTGCACCATCCGAGCTTTTTCACTGCGGTGGGTTTTTTGTTATATTCTCCATGGGAATGATGAATCTTTTGCATATTGGAGAAGATCACCAATTACTCCCTGGCCAAAGGAATGCAACCTCTTGCAATCTTCTTTGTGGTCTCCACTGCCCATCTATCCCTTAGTGTTTATTGGCCTTCTCCAGACTTTTAGACTTTTTCCCATCTTTTTTAAAATACGAAGGTGACAGAGGGACACAAAGCCCAAGGAGGCTCAAATCAATGTTCCAGTCTTCAACATGGCAGAAATTAGATGAAGGATTTCAGAGATGAAAGAGTCTTGCAGTGGAAAAACCTTACAATGGCAAGAACTCCTTAAACTAAATTTCTGACACATCAGACTGTGCTTTTAGTGTCTGAGGATGAAAATAAGCAATTCAGTGGCTTAGAACACAGGTTACAGGTTCAAATACAGTTTATCTATTCACTGGCTGTGTGACCTTGAAAAAGTAAACTAACCTCTCCAGCACTCAGTTTCCCATCTGTAATGTGAGAATAATAGCAATTCTCACTTCCGAGGGATTTTAAGAGAACTGAGCAGGCTACTGCATGTAATATGTTCAGCATAACACCTGTCACAAAATAAATGTTCAAAAATAATTTTAATTTTAGGACTTTTTTTTCATAAGGCATGCTTCTTCATTATTGGACAGTTTTAATTGTTATAAGACCTATTTTTTAGTAGTTCACTGATTTCTTGAGTATCCCGTCATTTCCAGTGAGCTTTTTCTCTTTAAGTAGCAAAAGAGCTATATTGACCCCAGTTTCTTTTTTCTCCATATTAACATCATCAAATTCCATTTCATATAATAAGAATTTCTTGTCTCTTCCTGGGTTGCTTGCCCTAGAAGTCTTCTACTTTTTTAGTGTGGAGATGTCAGCCAACATGGGACTTCTCGCACTCTTATGATTCTCATTTCATGCCAGCTTTTTCTTACACACAAGCATACATGCTTGTGTGCACACATACACACACACAACTCCAGGTGGTACATCACAAGTCCGTTATTTAAGAGGATCACATAGTATATGTCATATCCTAATACAAGAATACAAAACCTAAGAGGTATAAAAAGAGTGGCTACAATCTCTTCACCCTCAACATCAATTCCTCAATTGCCTAGAAACACCATGCATCCTGGGTAATCTCTTGATTTAGCAGAATCTCAGCAGCCAGAATCATTTCTCAATAGGAAGGTCAGTTCCTGCCCACTCTTAGCAGAAGAACTCAGAAGATCTCCCTTCACAGACAATTAACCCAGCACTCAGAGGTACCCTGAACCGGGACTTTGCTGTGAATTGTAGGACTTTGGAAGTCCTCAATTCTGGAACATCTCCAAGGCCACTTTTGTAAGGACTGTATCGAGCCAGGAAAGAAGAATGTAGAGCCCCAGTGTTCTAAAGTAGAGCCATCACTATAATATGTGAGACACGTCACATGTCCCTATGCTTTTCAATACAATAGACTTGTCAGAGGCAGAAGTAATAACTCTTGTGATTATATCTTTATACACTATGCTTTTTATTCAAGACCCATTGTGTTTTCTTGGTCTTTAAAGCCATATATATATATATATATATATATATATATATATATATATATATATCAAAATGTTTTCCTTATTTTTTCTAAAAAGCTTATGTTTTCTCTGTAAGAAATCTTTCTTCTCCCTGTTGATCTTCATTCTATTTCTGATAGTATTCACAGTGTCTTTGAATTTCATTTCTGTCTTCCAAGTAGACAGCAACTCATGCTTCCTTATGATTCACTTGATTGCTATTGTCCAGCTCCTGAATAAAACTATTAAGTAACACCTTTTTAAATTTCCAATCCTTGTGGAGTAATACACAATATTTTTCTACATATAGATGCTGAAAACTCAACAATCAACCTTTAGAAATTATAACTCTAAGAAAGATACTCTAATATTGTCTACACCTCTGCTTCCAAAGGTGTGTTCTATGACCTTTTAAAGATTCCATGCCAAAGAAGTTTGGAAAATGCTATAAACTATAATGACTCTACGACTTTCATATTACCTTATTAAAAAACATTTGAGAATCCTATAGTAAAGTAACTTATTTTACTCTGTGTTTCCCAAATATAAATGTTCATAGAACACTTAATAACTTTCTATAAAACACTCTTTCAGGGACCTTCTGCTTTAAGCAATTTCTACAGCCTAGTGATAGAAATGTCATGAAGATAGACAGAAAGCCCATCCAGTTCCACTGTATTCAATCTTTCACTTTCTTTTTACCTACACAGTCTAATATTCTTCAAAGAGAGAAAATTAAATTGGTCTGGCATTGACATTATTTGTTTGTTCAGAAATCCAACTCGAATTGTTACACAATATCTAGGGCTCTTCTGAGTAATGGAAAGTAATTTGATGATCATTCTATTATTTTCTCTCGTATTAAATTCGCATTGACCAATTTATATTTTCCCAGGTGTGCTCATGTGTATGTCATTATCCAGACAATTTCCTAAGTGCTTTACATGCATTAGTTCATTCTTAACTCACAGCACTCTTATAGATGCCATTAGTTTCATTTTATAGACGTGGAATCTGCTGACTGCTGAGCTCAAGTACCCTGTTTAAGGTTTCCACCACTTGTCAGGGTGAGAAGGAGGATTGGAACCCACGTATGTCTTGACTTCTAGGACTGCACTTTGCACCGTATTGCTTTTCAGGTTAAAGTTCAGTTACTTCCTCTGTTCTCCACTGGGGTCTGAACCTTTTGACACTTGCTTAGATAAGCCAGCCTTATCTAAATCTGATTTCTCCTACTTCTCTTCCTGGATTTCTGCTTGTTATTTTTTTGCCTTCAAATGCTCCCTGTCTGCCCTTGTTTCAAATTTTCAAGCTCTCCACACCTCCTCTTCTCGGTCTACAGTTTTTTTTTTCCTTGTCCTTTTCATCAGTTCCTGTGGTTTTAGTTCTTAGTGACATTGGCTTAACAGTAATCAGTCAATTACAGCCTGGAATCCTTTTCATGAATCCAGACCAATTTTTCCAGCTGTCTAGGAAGATCTCAAAGTCAACATGCCGGATACTGGATTTAT